ACCTTTTGTGTGTGTGTGTGTTTTGAAAAGTTTGTTTCTTTTAAGTGTTTTTGTTTGTTTATCCTCTCTCAAGGATACTTTTCAATTGACTTTTTTTTTTTTTTTTAATCCTCATCCGAGGACATTTTTCCATTTTTTGTTCAGGTAGAGTGGGAGGGAGAGAGAGGAACAGAGAGAGAGAGAAACATCAATGTGAAAGGAACACATCGAGTGGCTGCCACCCGCACAACTGACCAGGGCCGGGGACAAACTGCAACCGAGGTACGCACCCTTAGCAGGAACTGAACCCGTGTCTCTCAGGACCGCAGGCCGACGCTCTAACCGCTGAGCCAAACCGGCCAGGGCAATTGATTTTTTTTTTTAAGATAAAGTCGAAGGGAGAGAGAAATATCGATGTGAGTGACACACATCAACTTGTTGCTTCTCGCACAACCCTGACTGGGCTAGGGATTGAACCTGCAACCCAGGTACATGCCCTTGACCAGAATTAAACCTGCAACCCTTCGGTCCATGGGCCAATGCTCTAACCACTGAACAAATGGGCCAGGGCCACTCATAAGAGGTCTATAGAAGAGGTCAGATTCACAGAGACAGAAAGCAAAATGGTGGTTGCCAGGGCTGGGGGAGAGTGGTGAGAAGTTAGTGTTTTGTTTTGTTTTGTTTGTTCATTTGTTATCCTCACCCAAGGATATGTTTTTAATTGATTTTAAAGAGCGAGGAAGGGAGAGAGAGAAGAACATAGATCTGAGAAAGAAATAAATATTCACTGGTTTCCTGACTGGGGATCAAAACCACAACCTAGGTATGTACCCTGACTAGGAATTGAACCCATGACCCTTCAGTGTACAAGATGATGCTCCAACCAACTGAACCACACCGGCCAAGGCAAGGAATTAGTGTTTAATGGGGACAGAGTTTCACTTTGGGAAAATGACTAAGTCCTGGAAATGGATGGTGGAAATGGTTGCATAACGTGAAGGTACCTAGTATCATTGAGCTGTACACTGAAAAATGGTTAAACATGGCAAATATTATGTGCATTCTGCTAAATAAAAAACCAACTAGCCCTGGCCAGTTTGGCTCAGCAGTTGGAGCGTCTGTCTGACTGCTGACTGAAGAGTATGTACCTTGGTTGCAGTTCAGTTCCTGGCCCTGGTTGGGGTCATGCAGGAGGCAGCCAGTCAATGTGTCTCTCTCATATTGATGTTTCTCTCTCTCTCCCCCTCCTACTCTATCTGAAGATAATTGAAAAAAATATTGTCAGGTGAGGATTTAAAAAAACAACACCAACCAACTAAACATATGTATATAGTAAGCTCTTAGAGGACCCTCTAAGAAAAATCACTCCAAAAATACAATGAAAAAAGTCATTAGAGCCCTGGCTGGTTTGGCTCAGCAGTTAGAGCATCGGCCTGCAGTCCAGAGAGACCCGGGTTTAGTTCCCGCTAAGGGCATGTACCTCGGTTGCAGTTTGTCCCCAGCCCTGGTTGGGTCGTGCGGCTTGATGTGTCCCTTTCACGTCGATGTTTCTCTCTTCCTCTCTCTCCCTCCCACTCTATCTGAACCAAAAATGGAAAAATGTTCTTAGGGTAAGGATAAAAAAAAAAAAGTCATTTGACTAAAAGGCTACATTAGGCCCTGGCCGGTTTGGTTCAGCGGTTTGAGCATTGGCCTGTGGACCAGAGAGTCCTGGGTTCAGTTCCCGCTAGGGGCACGTACCAAAATGAATGAATGAATGAATGAATGAGTGAATGAATAAAATTCTACATTAGAAAATACTCATTTCATTGACTGCAAAAAAAAGAACTCAGAGAGGCATAAAAGACAAAAAAGACAACTTGGAAAAAAAGTGAAATAGCAGAGGACAGCCCAAGCATATCAGTAATCAGTAACATTAATGCAAATTCACTGAGGTGGCAACCAGCCCTGCTGAGAAGGGTGCCTTCCTAGAGGAGAGAGCAGGTGTGCAAAGGTCCTGGTGTAGGGAAGACCTGGGTGTTGCTAAAGCAAGAGAAGCCAGTGTCACTTATTGAGCCTCTGGTCCCCTCCTGGCCTCCAGTTCAGATTGTTGGGTATGGTTTGGCTGGCATCAGTGGCTTTGTGGGGAACTGGGCTGGCCTGGAGGAAATGAAGTCTCCAAGAAAGCTGAGAACCTCCTCAGTCATTTCCACAATCCTGGGGTAAGAGCCAATTAAACTACATTTAAAAGGCGGGGGTGGGGGGGTGGGGGAGGCCTGGCCAGTTTGGCTCAGAGGTTGGAGCGACGGCCTGCGGACTAGAAAGTCCTGGGTTAGGTTCCCACACCAAAATTTTTTTAAAAAATAAAACAAAAATAAAAGGGGGGGGGGCGTGTCTCTAGACCCTCCATCCCCAAGGAAATACATTATTAGGGGCCACAGGATCTGTTCTTTAGGGAGTGAAGGGGTGACACAGGCTCCTGAGAGCCCTGGCTGGCTGGAAATCCATTTGCACAATGCCTTTTGCCAAGGACCTTAATTTTGCTAATTATTTCACTAACAAAAAGAGCTACTTTTTTTTTTTTTATCCTCACCCAAGGACATTTTTTTTTTCCGTTTTTTGTTCAGATAGAGTGGGAGGGAGAGGAAGAGAGAGAGAGAAACATCGACATGAAAAGGACACATTGAGTGGTTGCCACCCGCATGACTCAACCAGGGCTGGGGACAAACTGCAACCGAGGTACATGCCCTTAGTGGGAACGGAACCCAGGTCTCTCTGGACCTTAGGCCAACGCTCTAACCTCTGAGCAAACTGGCCAGGGCTTCTTTCTTTTTAAAATGTTTTTATTTATTTTTTGAGAGAGAGAGGAAGGGAGGGATAGAAACATCAATGTGATAGAAACATCAGTTGGCTGCCGCCTACATGCTCCCTACTTGGGGGATTGAGGTGGAAACCCAGGCATGTGCCCTGACCGGGAATGGAACCAGGACCTCTCAGTCCATGGGATGATGCTCAATCCACTGAGCCACACCTGCCAGGCAAATAAGTTAAGGTTTAAAGCTGTGATGACTGCTCCTCCTTACTGCTTCTCCTGTAAACCTGGATGGCAGCAGCTCCAGAGGGAACATGGAAGGCTGCCACCCCGAGGCGTGTTTGGGGGTCACAATGAAACTGTTCTGTTCATTAGTTTATCTCAAGCCTGCACATTAGAGGCATAGAATCCATTTTGGACAAATCAATTTCTTTTTATGTTTTAAAATCTTGATTGTGGTTTTTAGAATGACAAAATATCGGCCCCCAATGACATCCCTTGAGACCATGCCAGACTCCTGACCTCCAAAACTGAGAATAAACGTGTTCATTTTTTTAAAAATATGCTTTTATTGATTTTTTGGAGAGAAAGGGAGACAAAAACATAGATATGAGAAAGATACATTGATCAGCTGCCTCCTGCATGCCCCCTACTGGGGATTGAGCCCACAACCCGGGCATGTGCCCTGACCAGGAATCAAACTGGGACCTCTCAGTCCATGGGACCATACTCAGTCAACTGAGCCACACTGGCTACATTTGTTTTAAGCGTTTGTGGTGATTGGTCAGAGCAGCCACAGGAGACCCACACACACACTAGAACAACTGGTCACAGCTGTTTCCCAGGGGCCTGACTCCTGGAACCCAGGAGCCCATCCCCACTGTCCCTAGCCAAAGGAGTGCTGTGTGCAAGCTGACTGACCTCTCTTCTTGGGGCTGCAAGTAGGGGTTTTATTGAATGTAAAAGCCCCAGGCATCTGGGGTGAGGGGCAGTCAAGAAAATGGAGACCAAAATATCAGAGGCTGGAAGGACTTTGCCAGTTAGGCCCGTATGTGTCCAGTAGGAGGGGACAGCCCCTATGGTTGTCAGTTTCCATTTCATCTTCCGGGCCCCAGGGCTCCTAACTCCCCTTTGCCTCCTACCCCCTACTCCCACTCATCTCTAGGGTCCACATGGACTTGAACCCAAGGGTGTGGAGTAAGTTTTCCTACTCCCTGGCCCAGCCCTGCTCTTGGGCCCTAATAAATGTCCCAGCCACCATGCTTTGTCCCAGGGCCCTGTCCCAATGCCCACATCATCCATGTCAACAGCTCAGTTTGTGCAAAGGTGAGTGGCTTGCCCAAGGACACAGTCTGGGTGTCACTCTAAAAGGGACCAGGGAGGCCTGGCCAATCTCTAGCCAGATCTGTCTGGATACCTTTTCCTTGGCACCCAGCCAGTGGCCATGAGCCCTAGAACCCAGGGCCTCTCACACTGGCTCTGCAGCTCCCACCCAACCATCCTAAAATCCACATCTACCAGAACCCAAAAACCCCTAGACCCACCAAGGCTGGGTCTAGGCCCCACACTCAAGCAGGTATCAAGTAGTTACAAGACCAAGGAGGAGCTAGGGCAGGTGCAGGTCCTTTCATGGGCAGCTCTTCCCCGGCAGGGAGGGAACAAATGACACAACGTAGATTCTAATCCAAACTCACTTCTCTTTATTCAAACCAGGGTCAAATTGGTCAGTGGGGATGCCCTGAAGCCACATGCGTGGGAAGTAGGCTGACAAGACCTCCTAGTCCTTGATGCAATTGGACGTGGGGTGGTTGCCAGCTGAGCCAGGTGGATGCAGCCCCCATGGCGCACTTGCAGACACCGCCAGGCAGGTCAATTGACAAAAGCAAGGAATAAACAAAAACGAAACACACTCAGTAGATTGCTTCTTTAAGCTCCAGAGTTTCTGGACCAACAAGTCCCAACCCTCAAAGCCAGGAGTACGGGGACCAAAAATGCCCCTCACTTCCACCAGTGCCGACAGAAACCCTGTTTTAAATTAAAAAATAAGCCAGTATACATCGTAGAAAATTTCTCTTAAAAATCTCACAATTTGTAAATGTATATTTTTTCTTTAACATAAAAGTTTATAATATACGGTTAAACAAAAGGCTCAGGAAAATAATTTCAAAAAAAAAAAAAAAAAAAAAAAAAGGAAGAAAAAGAAACCTGAAGTTTTGAATTAAAGCTGAAGACATTTTTTTAAAACCCTGTTGTTGAACCAGTGACTTTTTTTTTTTTTATTGTGCTGATGGGTTAGAGAAAGAAATATATTTAAAAACTTCAGTCCAGACACCCACAGCCACCTCTAGAAGCCTCACGTCTGCCCCTCCCCCCAAGGTTGAATCGCGATTTTTCTGCCAAGTTTGTGATTGTCACGAGTTCACAAGTTTCAAATCCTGGGTTTCGGCCATCTAGCTGTCTGCGTGGCACCAGATAGCTAGCGTCGGTAGGGGTGGAATCCTTGCACGTTGTGGTTCTGACCTCGTCCGAAGCCACTTCCACCAGCAGGGGGGCCCCCGGAGCCTGGCACCGAGGGGCCCCCATAGGAGGGCGGCTGCTGGCTGGGGTCTGAGAAACCCTGCCCAAAGCCGGCCAAGTCCTGTCCATAACCTGTGGAAAAAGAGTGCAATGATTAAGGGGGGGGGGGCCAGTTCCACTAACAGGACCCAGGGTCCCGCTCCCACCTGACATCACTGGGCCCCCAGGAGCACATGTCTCCAGAAAAGCCCACCCTGAAACCCTAGCAGGACCCTGTCTTGCATGAAAAGAAGAGTCTGTGAGAACTCGTGGACCCATGGTCTGGTTCTGTCTGATCCCGGCCAGTCCCCACTTGTCCCCATGGACTCAGGATGGGAACCCTGGTGGCAGAGCTGAGGGTCAGGAGAGACCTTTGGGCTTGGAGACGCACATCACCTGGCCCAGCTCAGCAAACCTCAGGCTCCTAGAAAATCTGTTCTTGAGTACAATGTAGGGTGGGCTCAGGCATGTCTTTCAGGATTTAAGGAAACATATGACAAGCCCTGGCCTCCCTCTAGGATGCACCCCAGACCCCAGACGGTCCTCCCTCTAGAACTGACCCAACCTGGAGGCTTCCATAGCACTGAGTGGTATGGGGGTGGGCAGGGACTACATGCGGAGCATTAGGCTTCAATGACTCAAGTTGGCCACACCTGCAGAGCCCATGTGGGTAGGGCAGGTCCCTCCTCTAAACAGGACCCTGACCCTATACTACAGACCTCAGAGGGTGTGAAGGCACTTCTGGAATGAGGGACAGCACTGTCCTCGCTCCCTGCCCACCCGGACCACACACTTTGGATGAAGGCCATCCCAGGGCCCCCAGATTCCCATTTGGGGGCACACTAGGAGGCAGAGCTCCTGGGTCATGTCCCATAGGGCAGTGTGGGTCCACCCCGCCCGGGACGGCAAAGGAGGCAACGTCCGGTGCCCGGGTGCAGGCAGGTGAGGACCGTGCATGAGGAGGCGCCACCTACCTAGGCCATATCACTGCTCAGCCTGACCATAAGAGTGTAAACAAAGTATGGGCCCGAAGCCCGCCGGGTCTTGAGAATAGGTACCCAGGCCTGGCGAGAGACGAGACCAGGGTGACTACCCCAGGGTGGTAGGGAGGGACACACTCGAGATCATGTATACCCCCACCCAGGGCCGCTCACATGTCTGCCGCCAACACGTCCTGTTCCAGGCAGGGTCGAGAACCCACGTGCTCAGTGACCACAGCCCTGCAAGGCCCCGAAGGGAACAAGAGTGTACGATGCAGGAGTGCTGGGGGACATCTGGTCAGCTGGTGGGACTGCATTCGAGGGTAAGAGTGGCTCAACTTGCAGATACTGTGGTCTTGAGTGACACACAGTTCACAATATAAAGGGGGAAACGAGGGGCTGAAACTCTTGCAGGAGCCTTGGAGGCCCTGGCCCCTCATGGCAGGCAGGAACTGACCACAGTGTGGGGAGACAACCCAGGCCACATCCTGTCCCTACATGAGCTCCCCCACTCAGCTGTCACCTTGCAGACCCAATTCAGAAGCACCTACTCCACGACCAGCCCCTCAAGTGAAGCACAAAGCCAACACCAAAGCCAGTACCTGCCCCAGACCAGAGCCGAGACCACCCAGCCAACACTCTTGCCTGCGTTCTGCATTCAGATATCCGAGGCACTGAAGGGTCAGGCCTGCCCGGGAATGCCCTTGGCCCAACAGCAATCATAGCCTTCATACCATCCTCCTGGGGGCCCAGTCATGGCCTTGGTTTCCCAAACCCACAGGCCTGGGGACAACTGCTTCGCAATCCATGCTTTTCTACAATTAGTGCCCTAGCAAAACCCAAGCAACCAAAATCCCACTTGACGGTTGCTTGATCCTAGGTCACGAGAACTCTCCAACAACTCCCCTCATCTCAGACCACCCGACCTGGAAACACTGGTGGAATATCTGCCTGTGAGGGAGGAAGGCGGTGGGGAGAGGGAGAGGCACATCCACTCACCATACTGACTGTAGGGGAAGTCTGGCTGTGCCGTTGGGGGCTTGTTCATATCTGGGGCAGCCTGAGATGGAGGCGGCGGAAAGGCCAGAGGTGCTGCCCCAGGAGTGGCAGGTGGAGGGGGGACCCCCGGTGGTGCAAACTGATCTGGCGGTGGAGGTGGAGGCCCGTAGCCAAAACCTGCAAACAAACAGGACAGAAAGACCGACACCATGCTTGCCCACAGCCCAGCCACCAGAAGCCTTCACAGGATTTCCATCTGAAACGTATGAGCGGCCAGGCCCTGAGCATGAGACCAGCATGAAAACTGTGGATAGTTGGGATAGCAGGAGCTGAAGCAGGCCCAGGAAATGGCTGCCTGTGGTGGGTGCTAGCTAGTAATTTCCATAGCAGTCACTGCTCAGAAACGCTCATCAGAAGGACAGAAGTCAACCCTCCAAAACAGCACAATCTGTGTGCTTTGAGAAAACAAAAATCACACCCAACCCATGCTTTGTCCTCAGGCTGCACATAATGTTTCTATTCAACTCTTGTCTTTTTTTTTTAATCCTCACCTGAGGACATTTTTCCATTTTTTGTTCAGATAGAGTGGGAGGGAGAGAGAGGAAGAGAAAGAGAGAAACATCGACGTGAAAGGGACACATCGAGTGGCTGCCACCCGCACAACCCAACCAGGGCTGGGGACAAACTGCAACCAAGGTACGTGCCCTTAGCAGGAACCAAAACCAGGTCTCTCAGGACCACAGGCCGTCACTCTAACCGCTGAGCCAAACTGGCCAGGACTCCACCTCTTGTCTTGTTAGAAAAAGAATTAGATATGATCTACGCCAGGAGCAGATATACCTTTTCTGTAAAGAGCCACAAGACAAAGTCATCATGTGGCCCTGGCTCCAGGCCTGGGCCACTGGCTACATGTGGTCACTGAGCCTACAAATTGGCTGGTCCACACTACAGCCTTAAGAGTAACACATCTAGATTCCAAGGACTTAGTACGAAAAAGATGGTAGGACCCTTTATGCTGGTGGAATGACTGTGGCCATCTTGGGTTAGGTGAGGGGTTCCTCTTTACTGTGGAACCCGGCTCCTACAGTGTAGCTACACACCATCCCCACCCCCCCTGCTTTTATTGAATCATCATCCAAAGACATGCTTAGAGAAGGAGGGAGAAAGAAAACCGAGGTGAGAGAAAAAGAAAACCAATGTGACAGAGAAACATCAATCAGTTGCCTTCCATATATGCCCCAACCAGGAATCGAACCCACAACCCAGGTATGTGCCCTGACTGGGGATCAAAATGACAGGCAACCTTTTTGGTGCACAGAATGATACTCAACCAACTGAGCCACTCCAGCTGGGGTAGGCTGCACCTTTTTGTTCTGAGGGTGCTGAGATCTGAGGAGAGCCCTAACCTTCCCAGAAAGTTGGCTGCTCGACACTCGGATTTTCAACCACAAAGCAAAGCATAGAGGAAAGTGAATCAAGACCTGAAGCTCCCTCATTTATGTAGCACAGAGATTAGATCCAGAAGTCCGTTCCAGGAATGACCATGAGGAAGAGCATGGTCTTTGTGTTGTTAACAACTCATAAGGTCAGCCCACAACAGGGCCAAAGCCAACAAATGTGTAGTCCACAAGGCCAGCCCAACCTTTTCCTCCAGGCAGAGGAACCGTGACAAGCTCCTAGTTGCAACTCCCCCATGCAAGCACCAGGCAGTCTATAAAAGGTGTGCAGCAAAGGCCTACCAAGGCCCCAGGACTTACTGAATTGTGGGGGTGCGCCATAGCCCTGTGGGAAGCCCTGTGGAGGGGGGAACCCTCCAGGAGGGGTGGACACAATGTAAGAGGTGAACGGCGGGGGTGGAGGGGGAGCTCCTCTTCCCGCGGGGGGTGGTCCGTAGCCACCTGGAACAGAGGACACAGGATGAGGGAAAGCATGGCACACATATCCCCCACCTGCCCAAACCCAGGCCCGCCAGGGGCCCACCGCACTTCAGATTTTGTCATCGCCCCATTTCCTAAACAAAGACTTACCAATTGCCTGTCCTGCTGGCACCCACATTCCTAAACCAGAAAACAAAGATGGGGATTGGTGCTGTGTTAGCCCAATGTCACTGACTGGAAGCTGAGCACCGCCCTCCTACTCCCATAGCAGGTGGAACCGTCATGGAGCCCCACAGGACACAGGGAGGATGTAGCAGCCCCAAGGGACATGCTCTATGATCCCCAAAACGCCAGATATTGCTGTCCATGTCCTTTTCTACAGGGGAGGATTCTAAGAAAAGGTTTTGGACCAATGACCCTGGCTCTTCAATAGAACCATCAAAAGGGATAGACAGAACACCCAAAGATCAGGGACTTAGGTGCAAGTACGGAATCTCAGGCCTGGCTGCCAGCCAAGCACAGGTCCTTCACCTACTGGTGGAAGAGCATCTGGAATCAGTAGTTTGCTGGAGCTGTTTTATTTTTTTCCATTTATCTTCAGATAGGGAGGGAGGGAGGGAGGAACAGAGAGAGAGAAACATCGACATGAGAGAGACACATCGAGCGGCTGCCACCCACACGACCCCAACGGGGGCCAGAGACGAATCGCAACCGAGGTACATGCCCTTAACGGGAACCAAACCCAGGACTCTCTGGTCTGTGGGCCAAAGCTCTAACTGCTGAGCCAAACCGGCCAGGGCCGGAGCTGTTTTAATTTGCAATAAAATGCAGGTTTAAAAAAAGACAGCTCTGGCCCTGGCCAGTTTGGCTCAGTGATTAGAGCATTAGCCCAAGGACCAATGAGTCGCGGGTTCAATTCCGGCCAGAGGCATGTACCTCAGTTGGGGTTCGTCATGGCCCTGGTTGGGTCATGCGGGAGGCAATCAGTTGATGTGGCTCTGTCACATCGATGTTTCTCTCTGTCTCTCTCCTTCCCCCCCACTCTATCTAATAATTAAAAAAACATCCTTGGGTGAGGAGTAATAAAAAAAAAAAAGACAGCTCTGGAGAGAGCAGGGGTAAAGCCTCAGGCTGTATAGATAGCTCTGCAAAATCAGGGGTGCAGTCAGGCCCACCTGGCCTCCTTTTGCTCCTCTGGACACTGCCTCTTCTTTGGGTTTCAAACAAGGTAGGGGCTCCCAGATCCCACCCCAGAGCCTGTCCCCAACCCTCCTGTGAGGATGTCCTTAACTCTCCGGACCCCACAGAGGACCCAATAAGCCCAGTTGTCATCAGCCTGAAACCTGGGAAACAGAGACAGACTCAAAGGGCCCAAGAAGCAGAATTTTCTCAGCCAGGTGAAAACCCCATGTTTTCAGTCTCCAAAACACATCAGGTTCTTCTGACCTGTACCTGGAAGCATTACCCCAGATTGAAAGGGTGAGGATACTCACTGCAGCCCTGCTGGCCTCAACCCCATAGAGGAACTCAGCCAGGGCTCAAGCACACCACCAAGGGCCACACCAACCTTGAGACAGACCTGGTGATAAGGTAGAAGGAACCCAGGGAACTGGCACCCGGCTGAGTAGGGAGTCCCACCTCTGCGCTAAGTCTGGAGGAGGTGGTACAGTGGCAGGTCTGGGCCAGAGCCTTACCTTGTGGGCCATATCCTTGCTGCCACGTGGGTGGGGGCTGGCCTGCCCAGCCGTTGGCAGCACTGGGCACAACTCGGCTCCCCCACTGGCTGGCCCCTGGCTGTCCAGGCACTTGGCTTTTGCTGTCACGAGGCTCAGCCCGTTTAACCTCCACCTAGACAAACCGAGGTCTGGTTCAGGGAGATGCAGGGGTCCCAGGCCCCTTCCCTTCAGACACACCCTCAGGTAACTTACAACTACACTTAGCATCTTATTACAACTTAAAACTAAATACTTAACTATATACCTTATTTAGGCCAGTAGCTTTCTCTTTAAAAAGTTTTTTTTGTGTTTTAATTATTACATTTAAAAAATGTTTCTCAGGTACAACAGGTGTGACTGTAACATGCTAAGCCCTATGCGCTGTAGAGCAGGGACCCTTGAGCATTTCATGCATGACAAGGGTCTCTTAGTCAAGTTAAAATGGCAGTGTCCTCCTTCAACAGCCTCATAAACCCGGGACAGAGGCCAGGGTCATTCCAATAATCGCAGCCCTGTCACAGGCCTCCCTGAGACCACTGAGTGGCAGGAGCCTGCCCCTGGCCGCACCACAGTGGTGGGGGACCTCTCTGGAGCCCACCCACCCTGAGTGCGCCTTCAGCTCATACCTGAGAAACACAGTTGGTTTACTTAGGTTTTTAATTTAAAATGTCTAAAGGAAGATAAAGACTTACCTTCCCCAGGCTAACGCTTAAAGAATCTCAAATAACTCAAAATAATGTCAGAGGGAATGGATGTGATAGAGCCTTACATTACATCTAACAAAAAGTAAACAAACATGCAATAAAATGGACATTTGGATCAGTAAGCAATCTTCATACTGTGTTGGGTCAGCAGCCCAGGACCCTTCCTCTTTGGACATGTCAGGAGCCACAGCCAGGGGAGGGGTCAGCACAGCTGGAGGTGGTGATTGCCCCACTTATGCTGCTCATTGCCCCTGATGACAAAAAGATGCCCCAATTCAAGGGTTGCCTCAGCATTTGAGAATCCTGAATTTTATCTTTTTATACATTTTAATAAGAGGGAAATTGGTCCACATGGAGTCACCCTTGGGGTCTCAATCTGGTGAGCTAATTAACCATTATGTATCAGAATTCAGTCAGCACTGCCTTGTAACACAAAGTCCCCCCCCCCCCCCGCCCCAATGCCCTAAGACCACTCCTCAGATGGCAATAAAGTCCCCTTTGGACAACAGGACTAAGGGAGATTCAAAAAGCTGAAATTAATGGGTCTTCACATATTCTCCTTAAGGAAATTTGGCTCCTGCTTACAAAGCAAAGCAGCTCTTGTAATTTAAAAAGTTCCTTTACTCTCTTCCTAAGGAAACTGGGATGTAGTCACTCCACTCTGGTGTTAATTACAAGTGGGACCTGAGCCTGTTAATCAGAAATCCCCACTGAAGAACTGGCAGGGACCAGTGAAGGTCCTGTGACAGAAGCTAGACTCTCCCAGACAGGAGAAACCCCTAGTGTCAGCTCTGAGCAGTCCAGACTCAGATACCCTCCACAAAGTTGGGGACGGCAGCCTGGAACGGGGGCAGATCATGCACTTAGCAGACCTTTCTGCCCTTGAAGCAGGATCACACTTATTTCCAAGTTTTAAATGTCACAGGACCTTCAACTATTGAACGTGGGCTCCTTTGACCTCGTTTTCTTAACTGGTATGTATCCTTGAAGTTCTCATAGTGATTTTAAACTAAAAGCTTCAGTGAATATCAGAGTGAGGTGTGTGACTCCCACTTAGGTTCAAATGGAATTAAGCCTGCATGGAAACCTGAGCCCCTGGCAAGTATTACCAGCTGCCCTGTTGATGAACATCAGGAAGCAGGCTGTGGCCACCTATCTGGGCAGACCCCAGTGCCATGCTTCCTCTAGTATCTCAATCAGAAGGGTTGGGCATGCTGAACCGAATGAGAAACTGGTAGCACACACCAACAGAGATGGCCGCCAGGGTGTGCTGAGCAGGCTTTATAAGGACCCAGACAGGGATCCTGCCAAAACATGGGCCCCAAAGACTTTGCTAACTGTAAGAAATCCTCACAATAGAATTTCTACCAGTTACTCATTTTACTGTTAACTTCTTCAAAAGCTCGAAGGGCCCAGGCAAATGAGGAGTTATGGGCCACTTTCTGACAGTCACCTCCATGGTGGCAACACAGTATGAAGATAAAACAACCAGAGGTCACTTGACTGCATGGAGTTAAGTACTATCGAGAGCATGTGGTTGGTATCGGAGTTTCACAGTAAGTGACCCAATTAAAACAACCAATCCTTCAGGATGTTTACATTTCTTTGTTTTACAGGAAACCTGTTCTCAAAGGTTGGCTGCCCATCGCGGGTTGGATGGAACAATCAGAATACAGTTCAGACATCTGAAGGAGAGGTCACTAGAACCAAGCCTGAGGCAACCTGTGATGTCACTGGAGGCCCACCGCCCACCACCCAACCCATCTCCAGAGGTCCCAGTCCCACCCCACAGAAGAGTCCCAGCACCTCTCGCCCGGACCGTTTCTATGAAGGAATTTCCGTTTCCAATGACATCCCTCAGTTGCCTGAAACTTGGTTTGGTCTTAAGGTAAAATAAAACTACAACTACACACTTTTTTGCCCATGATGTCGTGAAAATGCATGTTGACAGCCTGGTCCACTGATTGTTCGTCCTCGAAAGTAATAAATCCAAAACCTAGCCAACGACGAAGAGTGAATCAAGGTAGCAGGGTGTTGTGACACAAAACAGGATGATGAACAGTATTAGGGACGGGCCGAAGGATCAACCCAGGGCTTCAGCGAAGCAAGTGAGGGAGGGGGCTGCTGGCCTACCCGGCAAGTAAGGCAGGGGGACCCACTGGACACTCAGGCCCAGCTCAAGCTGGGGTTCCGACTGGACACTTTGGAACAGCCAGGGCATCTCTTAGGGAGCGGCACCCCAAACAGCCCAACAGTGAGGGCAATGAAACATGGCGGGGTGTGCCATGTTGGTGCTAGAACATTCTGTAGAAAACAAGTGCAGGCAGGGAGCAGTTGAGCGCTCTACCTCAGTTGTAGGTGTGCTATGGGTGCACTGTTGCTTTGCTGAAACCCAGGGTTCTCCCCCTCGGCTTGCAATTTGCTTTGCAGCTAGTGCTGACAGCAGCCATATATAGTCCTAGGCGTTAACAGTACGGTCTCTACCACAGTTAGTGCCTCGCTAGGCTTATCCAACACTGTTGGGTAAGCCCAAGGAGTCCTGTCAAGGTCACATACATATGTATACAGGTATCTATCTGCACACATCTATGTAATAAAATACACAAAGATACAGGCCACAGCGGGTTCCAGCAGGTCAACTCTGCTGTCAGCAGCAAGAGCAAGAGGCACCATGTCATTCAAGAGAATTTTAAAGAGAAAATAATTTAGCATTTTCCAAACACAAGGAAGTGGCAGTATAAACGAAGTTTGGTTGGTCTGGGTGAGCGCGACCACCCGGCTAACGTGGCGTGTCTGGTCCTCAGTCTATTGCCCTTGCTCCAGGGGCCCATCAGCTCTGAGGACAAAAGGACACATGGCAGACAGCTGCCAGGACAACCCAAAGAACAAAAGATAGGTGAGGGGAAGGGCCAGAGCTGAGAAGGGGCTGAAGATGGGCATGGGGGGAGGCGCACAGGGACAGTGTTCTGTGGCAGAGGCATGGAGCCAGGGGCAGGACTGTGCTCAAGACCACCTGGGAAGATCATAGGCAAAACAGCAGTTGAAGGAGGGAAACAGAGAAAAGGCAGCTCAGAAAGTCGGGTGACAGACTAGCAGGAAGGGTCAGCTGGGAAGCAGGAGCCTTTGGTCATGTTCTCTCCACACATACAAGCACGCAGAATCTACATGTGGTGTGAGAGGAGAAATGGAACCATGACAGCCAAATAAGAGGGGAAACAAAGCTGGGGGGGGGGCGGGGAATGAGGTGAGCAAAGGTAGAAGTGGGGCTGAGTGGGCCAGAGGTCAGGGGTCACCATCTGTCAGACATACTTTGAAGAACCCTTGGGATAGGGATACTGTTTTAAACCAACGGGGGTGGAGGGTGGGGGGATATGATTCAGAGCCTTTGTGAAAGCTTCTGAGAAGTAAGGTAGGAAGAAACTGTTTCTGGGATGCCCGCTGACCAGAAAATAAGGTAGGAAGGAGCTGTTTCTGGGATGCTTGCTGACCAGCTGCTGCTCTGGGTGCTGCTGCTGCCCTCTGCTTGCCTAAAACTCACGGAGGCTCACAGGGACTTGCAGAGACCTACAGAGCCAGATGGCTGAGGACGGTGTGCACCACAGGGGATTGCAGGTCCAAGGACCAAGCCCAAAGTGCTCTCCCCACCAGCCTGTTCTGCCTGCACCCCTAGCCCTGGGCCCAGGGTAAGGACCACAGGTGGCCAGGGGGTAGGGTGGGGGTGACCTGGGGAATCTAAAAGCAGTCCTCAGGATCCCGAGTTCCTGAGGCTTCACAAGATCGGAGGCAATGGTGAAACAACAGCACGGGTGAACGCATATTACAAGGTAACATTTTCTCCGAGTGCAGGAGTATCTGAAATCACAGGGCTCACGAGGTCCATTAGGGCACAAGAGGCGGTGACTCGTGGGTAAGGAGCCTGGGGCGGGACGTCTAGGGATGCGTCTGTGTCAAGAGGCGACATCACCACTGAGGAAGCGGCACAGAAACACACTGAAACTTCGTTTACACCCCACTGGAGCAAAGCCCGCTCCCTCCTCTGACTGCAGGATGGCCTGTACCTGTGTGATATAATTTAGCACCTGGAGAAGAGAAATCTAAAGAGAGATCGTTAATCACAAAAATTCAGAGAGAAAGGAAAACAACTTACTTAAAATTACTATATTTACTATGAAACACTTAATATGTCACTAAGCATGTACATCTACGTTAAAATTAAGACTATGACTTAACTTAATCGACATGAAGGGAAAAGACATTACTTAATCATGGAGTAAGAGGATGGAAGTTCAAATGGCAAACTATTCTCCAGCACGGCGGGCGCATGCTGCGGGCGGCAGCCCAGTGCTCTAGGGGTCTCCGTGGGACAGGGGCTGCAGGGGCCCGGACCAGCAGATCATCTCCTGGCCAGGCCCAAAGCAGCTAATAAAACAAAACAGGTGGGCAGGGACGAAGAGCAGCAGCCACAAAAATAAATAAATAAATAAAACCACCAAACCCAAAAGGTCACAAATGTCAGATGCCGGCTGGCCCAGGCCAGACGTGCAAGGGTGGGCTGCTCAGGGAGCCCTGGTGGGGACATGCCCCTCCTCACCAGCCCCACTGACTGAGGAGAAAAAGACAGGCAAAAAGCATGAGATGGATAAAGGAAACTCCACATCCAAGCTGAACTGCAGCAGATCTGGCCTGACAACATGAAATGAGACTTCTGACTACACTGGCATGAGCTGAAGGCAGGAGACAAACTACACTAGTGTGAGCTGAAGGCAGGAAACGGTCATAACTAAGGAATGTCACAATGGAAAAGGACACAAGTCTTTCAGTGTACGTTGAAGAACAGAAACCATGTTCAAATCCATGTCAAGTTGTAAAAACTTTAAAAGAATGAGTAAAAAAAAACAAAACAAAACAAAAAAAACAGTAACGTCTGACCTTGGGAAGCACAGACAAGCTGGGGGCTGCACAGGAAGAGCCTATGTTTTAATCATTTATCTCCAAATCACCCTTTTCTGAGGTAATGTTTGCTACAACCACCACCTAATTGTGAGATAGTTTGCCATCTGAGGGGGAAGGTCAAGGATAAACTCCATCTCTTTTACCTCGAGGCCTCTGCTTTTCTGCGTCGTAGATCATGACCACTTCTGTGACCTGCAAGAGAAAACGGCTGTTCGAGGACCTGGGTGCCACAGCACCTATGAGTACCTCTGGCTATGACAGAATTCCCAAGCCAAATGCCTGCTGGGAAGTCTCCAGTCTGAGGAGTCCTGAAGCAAAAGGCCACCTTCCAGGGTGTGATGTCCAAGACTCATGAAGCTAGAAGCCCAGGACACCACTCCACAGGGGAGTTGACAGCCAGGAGACCCACAGAGGACCCTCTCCATTCACAACGCTAGGATGGAATGATCCAGAGAGCGCTAGTGCTCCAGGACCTCCCTTGGTCAATGGCCCCAGTTGTCCTGCTGACCCAGCCCTAATTGCCCCCCACTCATTGAGTGTGTTCCTCATGGTGTGCTCTGGCACTCCTAAACCCTAGCCCCAGCCCTTGCACACTCAGGTATCACCTGACAAACACAACACAGCAGGAGCAGGTGGGGCCACACCACTGACAGGGCATTTGAGCAGAGCAGCCTGGGGTGGCCTATGCAAAGGCCCCACACATGCTGGCATCCTAGGCCCATTTTTTCTCTCTCTGCTGGCCCCACTAGAACTGAGTTCCCTGTATGACCCTGATTAACTCAAACACTCATGAGATTCTAAAGGATTTTAATCTCTTCTAGAAAACAGGATCACCACCCAGGGGAAGGTCTGTGTCACAAAGGAAACAAGGAGCAGGACACAAGACCAAACATCTCCTGTGAAGCCTGGAAGCCTGGGGGGCAGTGAGAACTGCCAGAGGAAGCAATGGGGTCGGGCCAGGACCCCCCATACAGTGAGGTCCACTGCTGGTACAAGAACCTGGGAATGGTTTGCACTCTGGAACTCCTCCGCCAGGCCAGGCCAGGCCAACCCTTGGCTGCAGCTACCGGGGTGGGCACCTTGTCTCCGAGTCCTGGTTAGTAGGAGTTAGCCCGAGGTCCCAGGTGAATCTGATCTGGAACATGCCCTCCTGCCACTGAGGGACAGCGGGTCAGCTTCTCCCCAACACTCCCTAGTGCCTTACAACCAAAAGGAAAGCCTCCTGGATGCCAGCCTGGCCAGTTTACATCTGCCTGGAAAAAGACATTACTACTCTCCTGGATAGTATATGGCAATGATGGCAAAGGATGAGGCTCTGGTTGTTCTGTTCTGGGGGGATTGGAGGCAACAGGACAGTGCTGCCAGGTTGAGCCTCCTAAGGACAAAGGGCTCCACCACGCCTGCCCTGACTAGACCAAGTTGAGCAGCTGCTGCCTGGGTGCTGCTGGTATGGGAACAACTCACCACTCCGAATTTCTTGAAGTATTCCCTGAGCTCTGTCTCACCACAATTGTGAGGAATTCCACCAACAAATATTTTATTTGATTTACTGTTATCACTCCTGGGTCCTTTCTGCTGTGTCAAGAAGGAAAAGTTGGTTAGACCATGTGGGGAGTCCTCAGCACGCTCCCCCGGGTTTTGAGTATCTGCATGGGTTTGAGAGCCACTAAAGCCACTGAACACTCTAAAAGTTCCAGTGAGTCCAAAGAGAACCAAGAACAGCATTTTCCCAGAGACCTAATCCAGCACTGTTTCAAATGCATTTTAAAGCAGGCTGCAGTACTGAGTTCAATTATTCTGAACCACAACAGCTACCAAACTTAAAAGATCTACACTGTGAAACTAAGGATTTCAGGAGCATAAAGAAGACACAAAGGAGCCTCCATAATTAAAACTAGTGATAAGGTTTGTTTTCAACGTTGGTGACCAACGACAATGGAAAGTTCTGGTAACTAAAGTGCACCCCTTCATTTGTCTTTCTTTTGCCATCCCTGACCCCGATTCCATGTGGAATTACCTCATATCTACTTTGGCAGGAAACACTTGAGCCCAGCTCATCACTTGGGGGACAGACATGGAGGGGATAAGCCCACCCAACCTCCCTGGGGGGAACCCAAACCTCAGTTCCTGCCCTGCAATGCTGCCACTCCTACCCTCTCCACTCCTAATACCCTTCTTTCTATTCAAAGAGCTTATGGGATAAATTATCCCAATTATTCTTGATTAGCAATTTTGGGGGTGGGTGAGGATTCTCTGGGTGTGCAGGTTATGGCCCGTCCCTATTCTGTCTTAATAAAGCTGCCAAGAGACTAAAGGACGTTAATAACCAAATAGAATCTGAACCCTGATTGGAGTTCAGTCTGAAAAGCCGTGAAGGTTATCTGTAAGATAATCCCAGAAATGTGAGCATGGTGGTGTGGACATGGGTGACACTGGGTGTCACCATAGGCATTTAGCTGTGCGGATGAGGGTTCTGTGGAAGGCTGGACTTTTAGGAAATGCACGCTCCAGAATTTAGGAATGATTTATGCAGACAGAGATGGATATTAATATAGGTAACTGAAAAATAGTAATAACTGATTAATCTAGTTTCCTGTAACTTGAAATTTTTCCTAATAGAAATTCGAAAAAATAGAAATGGTTTCAAGGGTCCAAGGCCCCTGTCTATTTGCAGCAGCTGGGACCCTGCTACAAATGCAGATCTCAAGCCTCCACTTAGATCATACATATGTGGTGGGGCCTGCACGCAGCTTTTCAATAGCTTCCAGCCATGCTCTGTTAAGTAGGGCTTTCTGTGAGGACTGAAGCATTCTAAGTGACAGTATTCTCTAAGAACTGCTGGGTGGTGGAAGAGAAGATGTGGGCAGTGAGCAAAAGAAGACAGGTCTGTTCCAGCTGACCTATTACCAGGGGCCACACACAGCTCACAGGGAATCCCCAGGAGTCACCACACCAGCTATTTAAGCAACCAGGTTTGTGTCTGGAGGGGAGTGGCCTGCAGAGCTGGGTGGTAGAAGCCTCAGAGTTAAGGATGACCAGACCACCATGTGGAGAGAAGTGAGAGACTGGGAGAAGCTGCTGCTCTTGGGGCAAATAAAACCAGAAAACTCCAGATGATAAACAAGCATGAACTGTCTTTTTTTTTTTTTTAATCCTCATCTGCGGATATTTTTCCATAAATTTTTAGGTAGAGTGGGAGGGAGGGAGAGACAGAGAGAGGGAGGGAGGGAGGAAAAACATCGATTAGAGAGAGATACGTGTACTGGTTGCCTCCCACACGACCCCTACTGGGGCTGGGGATCAAACCTGCAACCCAGATATGTGACCTTGACTGGAAATTGAACCAGCGACCCTTATATCCGAGGGCTGATATTCTAACCGCTGAGCCAAATGAGCCAGGGCTGCCTTTTTTTTTTTTTTTTGAGGTAGACTAACAAAATATTTCTCCTTGACAACAAGATAAAAAAATATAAAGCACTGAATAAATCTAAGCAATTCTCAGCTGGCCAAGTGTCAAAGGAGAATACCTTCAGTCATTTCTAATTCTATTTTTTAAATATATTTCTATTAACTTTTAGAGAGAGAGGAAGGAAAAGGGAGAAAGAGATAGAAACATCAATGAGACATATACATCAATCAGCCACCTCTTGCACACCCCCTACTAGGGATTGAGGCCAAAACCTGGGCATGTGCCCTAACTGGGAATTGAACCGGCAACCTCTTGGTCTATGGGATGAAGCTCAACCACTGAACCACACCGGCTGGGCTAGTCACTCCTAATCTTAATGAGAAAAAACCCAAATCAAAGGCACATGTCTGTCTAACCACTATGCTGTACATCTGAAACTAACACGTAATAATTTTGAATGTAAACTGTAATTTGAAAAAAAAACCAACAACAAAGGCACATGTGTCCTTCAAACTGGCTGTTGAACACACAAGGTTGACCACCCGGCCCCTTACCCAGCCTTCTTTTGGCCGTGTCCTCTCTGGCTGCATCCCCCGAGGTGTACATGGCTTTGGGTCGATCTGTAGGAAGTTTCAAATGAGCCAGTTGTAAATATGAGGCTCTTTTCTCTAGAAAAAAAGGTGTCAGCAACAGCAGCTAGTAGCACAGTATACTAGCATTCAAAATCAATTCACACCATGTTGGTATCCATATCCTACTCCAACCTTCAGTCTAAATAAAGAGACTTAGATCTTTTAGATCACCCCACAGAAAACAGTCTTTAACATAAACATCCATGAAAACTCAGGGAACCCAGTGCTCTGAAGGACAAACGACAGAGATAGGGGCAAGGAGAGTTCAGCTGCAGCAGGACACTTACATTTCGACCATCCAGTGTATGTGGTCTGCTGGCCAGTACTGTGCCCACACAGTTGGGGTCTTTAAACTTGACAAACCCGAAGCCTCGAGACTGGTTGGTTGTCTTATCTTTCATGATCACGCAGTCCACAACCTCTCCATACTGGGAGAAGTAGCTGCGAAGAGTCTCTGCTCAGAGATCAGGACAGAAACAGACACACACACCACAATGTTAAGCACAGCATTGCAGCTGGCGTGCAAACACTCACACACGAACACACACATGCAGGCGCTGCTCTCCTGGTTCACCAGCCTGACCTGGAAACTGTGTGACTAGCCACTTTTAAACTGACCAATCAACTAGTTTGGGGGTAGGGGAAGAAGGTAAAGAACAGGAAACACGTAAGAAAGAATAAGGGACTTCACATGATGGGTACATCACGTCTTCATATAAACTAGAAACGCTGCAACTGAGCATGGGTTTGGCAAAAGCATCCAGGAAAGTGAAGTTTAAGAGAATGAAGAACAACCACTTCGATGGCTGCTTGACAACCAGCTCCTTTTTGCTATGTCTGAACTCAGTGACCGGTGGGTAATTCCCGGGCCACCACACTCTGCACATTAACAGTCCTCCTACCTCCAGAACCTACCTCAGCCTTGAGCTAGGAACCTGCGGTCTAATTTCTCCCTCAATTCTGCTGTGAAACATCAGGACGAAATTAACCTTTTCAAAACCAATATTGCATTCCTTTTGCCCCCCACCTACTAATGTCCAATCAAATGCCCCTTCACCCCAGAAATCAAGACAATAAATCAATGAAGAATTAAAGAAACCCAAGGCAGTAGCAAGAGACAAATTTACAAAACACAACTTGGAGACCAAGGCCAGCCCGCCTGCAGTGTTTGGCACTCAGCCACAGCACCTACCTTGAGTGGTGCTCCAGTCAAGTCCGCCCACAAAGAGCTTCCTGCAATTCAACAAAAAAACATTTAGATTCAAATGGTTCTTACCTTAAAGATGCTGCCCATCTGACCCATCCCAAAGCAGTAATCCATATCACAGGAGTTCACACAAACATGCTGACAATGGCCATGGCGCATGACAGCCATGACCATCACCTGGCCTTAATTGACTGTAGACATGAAAAATGACTCCCAAGATTTGCCAACACTGCAGGGTAAGTGTAATAACGTAGTGAAGACAATGTGTCCAGAACTGCAAATGCACGAGGACCACAACCACAGCAAGTCCCTCCCCTACCACTCTGGAAATACTGTTCATTTGCAAACAAGATCTGAGATCACAGGCTACAACCATAGTGACAGCAGAGGTAGAGGCTGTAGGGCAAAGCCTCAGACACTCACCATGTGGTCATGTGCTAAGACCCACAAATCATTAGAAAGGTCCCCAGAGCACCCTGGCCAGTTTGGCTTAGCAGTTGGAGCGTAGGCCCGCGGAACAAGGAGTCGCATGTTTGATTCCAGTCAAGGGCACGTACTTCACTCAGCTGTGGTTTGGTCCCTGGCCCTGGTCAGGGTCGTTGGGGAGGGAATCAATCAATATGCCTTTCTCACATTGATGCCCCCCACCCTCATCCTCCATCTGAAGGTAAATGGAAAAATAGCCTCGGGTAAGGATTTTAAAAAAAAGGAAGGTCCCCAGAGCTCCAGACCCAGTACTGGAGCCCTAGCCCACATTCCCCTACCCAGGGTGGCCTGGGCTATAGTTTTGAGCAGTCACACTAGAACTTTCTAGAGGAACCCCACACTGACCTTGCAGCCCATCTGCCTTGTATCTGCACAACCCTCAGTGGGTCCAGAACCCAGAGCCCCCCTATTACCCTCAGGGAGGGCTCTACACAGCTAGGACCCAACAAGGGTGGGTCATGGCAGTGTCTGCCTTTCCCACCTCTCACACAGCCCTCAAACGGACTGGACCTGGAGTAAACTGAGGTGCTGCAGCTTCCACTTGGAACCATGCTCACCTGCCTTACCCTCAGCACCCCCTCATCATTCCAGCCTACCAAAGCCCTTGAGACATGTATGACAGAGGACGCAGAGGGAGGAGACTCTAGCAGCAGTGGTGGCAGCACTCCATCCTGTTTCATCCAGGAAAGGAGGACACTACCACTTTCACCCTAAGAACTGGACCCAGGAGCTAACTGGCAGATCTTCAGATGCTGGCAGGTAGCCCAGACTCAGTCCCCACATGAGACACAAGGATCCTGCAAGGCTGATCACACTCTTGCCTTCTGAGCACCCAAGAGAATTGCCAGACAGGAAGCTTTGCCCTCCGTCCGAGGATAGAACCCTCAAGGTAACAGGCACAACTGTCACCTCTGCTCCATCTGGTGACTCAAGCCTCAGTGTGCCAGCCACTGGCAAAATGCCTGCGACAGCAGGACTGTCAGGGGCTTGTTCCAATCTGCCTTTTCTCTAAGGAAGGGCAATTTAAATTTAGTATGTAAGAAATAATTTTCCCACCAGACAGGTACCCACTACCATTCAAAATGCCAACAAATAGGCTACCACCCTTCCCTGGCTGGGGAGGGCTAGAAGGGGAGTCAGGATGGGCATCTGACCATGGCTATACTTCCAGTGCCTTAGAAGGGAGCTTGGTAAAAATAGGTTTCAGGGAACATGCTGACAAGCAGCAGTGAGGCTCACATTTAGGCCTCATTAACTTAAAATCATGTTGAAGGCCTCCTGCCTTCCACAATTCCAGGGGGTGGAGCCTCCATCTGTTCCCCACTCCCCAGGGCTGTCCAGGCACTGTCCAAGCTGTGACTCAGGCCCAGCCCCACCCAACATGCCCAATCCCTTGAGGCCTGGCACCCAGCAAGGGCACAGAGCCTCAGATGACAAGGGCTAGAGGATGGCTATCACTGCTGAGGAATTGCCGGTTTGCCCAGTCCTTTGTAACAGGAACAACCAAGGATTTGCTGTGGAAAAGCAGCTTCGTGCAGAAAAGAGATCTCAAGAATTCTCAAAAAACAAAAGTAAAACAAAACCCAATTCACTTAGAGAACACCAGCCTCTATATAGCACTGCATCCACCAAAACAGTCAAGTAGTAAGTCACTGCCCATCCAAGCACCTCAAACTCCACAGCCTACCCTCAGAGGAGGAATCCACCAGAGAAGCCGAGGTTCCAGCCTTCACTTAAATTTCAAAATTAGGCATTAAGGGAAAAAAACTAGAAATACCATCACCCACACAACTGAAATAATTTGCATTTGCCCTATGAATGGATAATAAGGTAGCATCAATATTGGGCTTTCCAATTTTATCACTGTGCTATGTGCATTTAAGAGAATGTCTCCGTCCTTAGAAATGGAACACACAGACAGGTCCACACAAAGGGGCATCAGGGCACCACTTCCCTTTGATTAATTCACAAAAGACAAACACACCAATGAGGCAGAATGTTACCCTTTGGTGAGTCTGGCTGGATAAAGAATACTGGGGACTTCTGTTACTAATTTGTAACTGTTTTGTAACTCTGAAGTTATATGAGATTATAAATTAAGAAATTCTCATTATTGAGAAAATGCCAAGATTTAGAAACAACCATCCCATCACATAGGATATCTGAAACACTCGGCAAGAGGTGCCTCTTATATGACCATCTGCTTACGCAGAAGGAAGAACATGCCAAGCCTCTGTGTGGGACAGCACTGTACTAGGTACTTTATGTGTTTCCACTTCCTTTCCTCCTGCTCTGAGGGCACCCTCTCCAGGTCTGCACACGGAAAGTTCCACAAGGTCCTGGGAGGCCAGCTGACTGTGGTGACAGGGACCTTTCTAGAGCCCCAGCACAGAGCCTGAACCTCTGAGCCTCAGGTTTTGGTAATCAATAAAATAAAAAGGGTCCTGGGTGCCAACCTCAGCAGGGTGAATGAGAAACAAGCACCCCAGCACCCCATAGACTAAGGTCCCCACAGGACAAGCCCAGACACAGCTCCTCGCTGTCCAGGCAGTATAACCATCCCTCGTCAACATGGACATGCAGCCCTGGCACCAGTGGGAGACTTGTTCACCACATCAGCCATCCAGGGGCAGCCCAGACAAACTCACTTGGCACCATGTGAATCTCAGGAGTCAATTGGCATGTACACATGGGACTCTGCAAATTAAGGGATTAGCCAACCATGCTGGCTCCCCTTCTCCAGCTCTTCCCTGCTGAAACGGGATGTCAGGGCTCCAAAGACCCTGCACTCCCCAAACCTACTACGGACTTTCTAGCTCTATCAGACTCTCCTAAGAGAACAAAAGCCAGGTTCCTGAGAAGGAAACAGGCAGTGCCACCACTTAGGGGATCTGAGAGAGGTTGTCTGTGAGCAGCACATTTGCTCCCAGGGCCTACACTTTGAGAAGGGGCTGGTGACTTCCTCCTGGAAAGGGCTTTGTGCACAAGTGACTGGGCACCAGGTTCTAGGTAACATTCCCCTTGAATGTTTCTGGATGACTACCCCGCTCTTGCTCTGTGGACTTCAGAGCAATCTTGTAGTATCTGCACCAGAAAGTTAGTCTTCCGTGGCTTCCCCTGTCTGGGGCTGATGACTGTGGGCTCTGCTCTGGAAGCACATTGGCAGGCTTTGGAAAATTCCATCCTGCCTGGCAAGAATGCTACCCAGCCTGGCCGGTGTGGCTCAGTGGATTGAGTATCATCCCATTGACCAAGAGGTCCCAGTTCGATTCCTGGTCAGGGCACATGCCCAGGTTGCAGGCTTGATCCCGAGTAGGGGGCATGCAGGAGGGAGCAGAATGACGTTCCTATCTCTCTCCCCCTAAAAAAATAAAATCAATAAAAACATATTTAAAAAAAAATTTTTTTTTTTAAAAGGCCACCGAAAGGTAGCAGGGGGCAGAGGTAGAGGGCTTGGATCAGTCAGTTGTTGAGCAAATGGCCCTTTCTTCTTAGACAGCATCTAATCCAGATCCTATGTTTGCACCTTTCTGGTCTCATTTTCCTGCAGGAGAGGGGCAGCCCTGGGAGGGGACACACAGCCCTGGCCCGTGGGCCTCACTCCAAAGCCCATCCATGCCAGTCCCTGCCCTCAGCACTCAGGCTTCCCTTCTGCCAGCAGATGACTATGGGGGCTATGTGACACAGGAGAAAACCCCAAGACTAACCCCAAGTGGTGGGAGGAGCCCCTCCACTGCCCTGTCCCATACAGGACCAAGGTCCTCCCCAAATTACGACCCCTCTGAAGCAAACCAAACAATGACTCTCCTCTACCTCATTGGGTTATCAAGCACAAACAGGCATTTACAAGTACAGTCCACTGCTCCTGGTTCCCACCCTTCCAGGCCTTGCCAGAGCTCAACTCAGGGGTGGTCTACTTCCAGAGTCTTTCCAACAAACCTTTCCAGAAAGACCAGGAAGGACTCAAGCACTCTGCCTTGGGACCACTCCACATGCCATCACTCTGCCAGTGACAGGCTGCAGGCCACTAAGGTCACCCACTTGCAGCCTCTCTGGATGAACAGCCGTGGACTCACCCCACATCCCCAGTCTTTCCTTGAAACAACCCCAATGCAGCTTCACTTCCCTTCTTCAAGTCCTTCCTCTCCCTGCAACACTGCCCTCAATAACATGCAGGTGTCCCATCTTACCAGTCCTGGGTTACGCAAATAGGACCACATGTGCCAGATAAAATCTTTCTCCCTTTTCTCCAGTTCCTGACAGTTTGGCTGCCCCAGAGGTGGGTGGGACAAAGTGCCTCTGTCTATCTATAAAGGGAGAGAGCCCTCTTGCAGCACCCAGGAGCACCAACAAGATGGCAGGCACCCTCTGATGTCCAACCACAGACCCCAATAGAGAATTTTTTTGTTTGTTTGTTTTTGTTTTTTTTATCCTCACCCGAGGACATTTTTTGTTCAGGTAGAGTGGGAGGAAGAGAGAGAGAGAGAGAGAGAAACATCGATGTGAAAGGGACACATCGAGTGGCTGCCACCCGCACGACCGACCAGGGCCGGGGACAAACTGCAACCAAGGTACATGCCCTTAGCGGGAACCGAACCCGGGTCTCTCAGGACCGCAGGCTGATGCTCTAACCGCTGAGCCAAACTGGCCAGGGCCCCAATAGAGAATTTGAATCAAGGGACCTTTCTTTAAGTTGACTTTCCAAGGTTGTGGCAGGGAAAGGAGGACCTCAGCCCTGTCTGATCAGCAGGTTCCCCAGCAAGATGAGGGACTGTCATTGCCAGGCCTGCCTCAGAAGGGAGGACATCTGGCCATCCACACATCAGCTCTACACAGGGCCATCCATACCTGACTACAGGTAACACCCACTGCTCCTGTCATCCTTCTATACTAAAGAACTAGACCTTGTTCTGCTCTAGCTGACTGTGACAATCAGAACTCTAAAAACATTAATTAAAGCCCTGGCCGGTTTGGCTCAGCGGTTAGAGCATCAGCCTGCGGTCCACAGAGACCCGGGTTCGGTTCCCGCTAAGGGCATGTACCTTGGCTGCAGTTTGTCCCCGGCCCTGGTTGGGTCGTGTGGGTGGCGGCCACTCGATGTGTCCCTTTCACATCGATGTTTCTCTCTCTCCTTCCCGCTCTATCTGAGTAAAAAATGGAAAAATGTCCTCGGGTGAGGATAAAAAAAAATAAATAAAAACATTAATTAAAGCCAGTAGTCTCACCAAACTTCCATTCTCCCATCAAACTTCATGCTGATTTCTGAGCCAGCTCAGATGGTCAAGAACTAGGGAAGC